GTGGGGAGGGGCCCTCTGGGGATCCCAGAGTCCTGTTCTGCTGAGGTTTGACCTCCTGATTTTATTGTAAAATAAACTGCTCCCATTCTGGGCCCCCTAACCTCTGGCCCTCCCCCCTTCTCTCTGCCCTTTGCCCCCCCTGCTTCCGTTCCCTTAACAGCCCAGGCCCCACAGCCCCTGCCCTCCTCTCTCCCGTGTCCCGCCCCTACGCTGCCCTTTTCAACACTCTTCTGTTATTGTCCTGTGTGTACAGTATATATATGTATATATATTTTAATTTTTTAATTTAAGCAAAGACTAAAATCAACCATTTGATGCTGCAGGGGCCCGTCAGGCTCTGGGAGGGGGGCGGTGTGGGAAGAAGGCAAGAGAGGCAGGGCTGGCTCCGGGCAGGTCGAGATTGGGAAGGCGAGAGCTAGCATCTGGGGCAGGTGCCAGCCTGGGCACTGGTGACCGTCCCCATGTCCCCTTTGTTTCCACTTCCCAGTCTGGTTTATCCCTGCCGTGCTTGAATGTCACAGGCCGACAGGAGCCTCCAGAGGCGCCCCCTCTGCCCCCAGTCTCAGTAGGGCCACTGGGCATACCCAAGTGCCGGAGAGATCACCGGCCAACCGGAAGCCAGCGTCCACATGACCCCGGGAGCACGTCCCCGCCCGCTCCCGGCTCCAGCTCCTGCCCCTCCCTAGGGCCCGCAACTCCATGGGCCACCTCATTTTCTGTTCTCGTTTTGCAGAGTTGCACAAGGAGAGAACTCAGCATGGGGGGTTGGTTTTTTGGGTTTTGTTTTCTGTTTGTTTATTTGTTTAATTTAATGATTTGTAAAGTGATGTTCCTCTTCCTTTTTTACACTTTTAGCTCATATTTAACCTCTGTTTGGAAAATGATTCTTGTAATTGTACATTTTTTTGCCTCCTAACAACAGGAATAAAATGACCAGTTTTGTGTTGGGGAGGTGTCCGGGGCTGGTTATTTGTCCGCAGACGCTGCGGGATGACTGGTGGGCCCGCATGCTGGGGCACAAACACCACAGAGAGCGAGGCACGTGCTCACACTGGGCACACAATGGCACTTCACAAAGCAGCCTCCCGCACGTGTGCCGGGGCCTCGCCCGGCCGCCTCCTCCCTCCCTCGTCAGACTAGCGCGCGGCCCCAGCCCGGCGAGTCCGTGGGCTGGGGTCAGCGTGGCGGGGGTGTGGAGCTGCGTCCCCGCGTGTGCGGGCCTGAGCCTCTGGTTCCCGAGAGTCCATTCAGAGCCCCACCTGCAGCCAGAGCTGGGCCGAAGCCAGAACTCTGTCCCCCCCACGATGAGCCAGTCAGTCACTCGGTTTCCAGGGCCAGTGCCGGTTTCCAGGGCCAGTGCCGGGCCTTCAGACCCCCAGTAGCGTCCCTCCTTCCCTGTTCCCCTGCTGCTGTCGGTGCTCCTGGTTTTCTGGGAGAGGCTGTCCCCTTATCGTTCTGCCCAGTCCCAGTCCTCTCCCCACTTGACCCCAACCTCCAGAGCTGGTCCCCCTCCCCTCCTCGCCCACAGCTGCTGCCTGAGAGCCTTGTGGGCCCTGTTTACCCAAATCCGGGGCCATCTTGACCCAGTTTTGCAGCAAGCCCCGCCTCCCCCCTGCTCCGCCCCTCCTCAGCCTCCCTTCCCCCTGGAAAATGGAGCAGGCCCCTACAGCACCCCCATGCCCTCTTGTCCTACCTCTGTAGGAAGAAGGAGCCACAGGGTTCACCAAGATCTGGGAGCAGGGATCCCAGGGCTCAGGGTCCCGAGCCTGACTTGTTTACTCTGAACTTCACCAGCCCTTTCTTGGGGCCCAGGGCTTCCTCCTAGAGGCACTTTACTAGTCAGAAATGACTCGCCTGGAGAGGTAGCTCCCACCGGAGTCTGAGGAAAGTAGGCAGGTAGAATTTGGCAAAGGGAGCAAAAGGATTTGAAGGTGTCTTCCAGGTCTGGGGAATAGGAAACGTGCCCCCTGCTTATGGAGGTCTAAGCTGGGGCCAGGGTCTGCCTGTGGGTTCCTGGCGGCAGAGGCTGCCCCTGGCCTGGGAGGCTGGAAGGGGCCTGTCACTCATACGGGGTTGGGGGGGTGGGCAGGACGGGGCAGGGGTCAGGGTTGACCTGCCTTCCCCCGTCCTGAATCCCCTGATGAAGGGTGAGATTGGAGATTAGAGAGGATGAGCTGGTTACCAGCAAGCAGCCTCCTGCCATTGGGCCTGTAGGCAGCAGATGCCTAATAGGACCTAAAGAACTTGGGAAACTTGGACAGGGAGCGGACTGTGCGTACATATGTAAATCCTCGTGCTTGGGGCCCTTCAAGGTGCCAAAAGCCCGGATGCGTTCTGGGAGCACCCTGGCCAAGCCTACTCTGTAGTACTAGAGAATTCAGTCCCCAAAAGGAAGAAAGAAAAGGTGCCAGGCGTTTTGCCAGATGCTTTATATATCTTGTCCCATTTAATGACTGTAGTCCTCCGGGAGAGAGGGGTTGTTCCCGTTTTACAGATGAGGAAACTGAGAGGCTCATAACCGCGTCCAGTCTGGTCGGAGGGAGGCGACTCTCCCCGCTAAGTGCACGTGCTCTCTGCTCCGCACTCCCAGCTGAGGGGAGAGGCTAGGTGGGTTGCATCAGGGTCTGGGAGCTGGCCTAAAGCCTGCCCTAAGGGGGCGGGAGAATGTCCGCCCTGCCTCTGAGCATCCCAGCTCAAATCCACCGCCCACTGCTGTGCCAACCTGCCCCCCCCCATTCCAAGCCTGGGACCCCTAAGCAACAAATGCCACATTGTTCCCCCAGCTGGCCCAGGCTGGAGGGACAGTGGCTCTTTCCCAAGGCCCTGCTGGGCTGCTGACTGATCTTGCAAGCCATTCACGTTGGCAGGCATGGGAGGCGCGGTGGTGGCAGGGCCTCGGAGACACCATCCCCCCCTTCAGCTCTGAGCTGGCCAACCAGCAGGAGGGAGAGGCAGGGGTGTGGGGGGTGCCCTCTGTGGAAAAGGCCTCCACAAACAGGATGCTGAGCCCCCCCCCTTCCCTCAGGCTTCCATCCTCAGGCCTCTCCCAGTACCAGACTTCACCTCAGTTCACCCTGCCCCCCCTCATCCCACAGGAAGCTCCTGGAGTGTCTAGGACTGGGGGTGGGAGTGGGGCAGAGAGGGAGGTGGGGGTGTGGGGGAGATGGCCCCGGTAACCTCAGTGGCGTAATCCTGGCCCCCTCTCCAGCCTGCCCCCCACCCACCCATCTCAAGTTTCTCCCAACAAAGCTGAGGGCTTCAGTCACTGTGGCAACAGGTCTGCTGAGAAATGGGTGGGTGTCATTCCCCAGCACAAAGAGTGTGCGCATGGCAGCCTCATCACTTAGCAACGGCCTCCCTCTCTCTTGGCGTCACCCGTCCTGGGGGTGGGTGCCAGGAAGAGAGAACAAGGCCATTAAGATCCCCAAGAGAGGGGGGGGAAGGAGGCTTGGGTCCGGGCTGGGCTGAGGCCAAGGGGTGTGGGTGGGGTGGACAGAGAAGAATGGGGCCCAGTGCCCTCAGCAACCACTGTCCCTCATTATGCTGGGTCCCTGGGACCCTTCCGAGGCCCCGTGCAGAGGTTCTAGGTAGACCTGGCAGGCAGAAGTTGCCAGTGGGACCCAGAGCGGCGCTTTGCACTTCTGAAGGAAGCTGGGCTCAGGAGGCAGAAGGCAGGGGGTGATTAGGCCGAGGTGCCCCTTCTGGTTGACCTTGGGCCTGCTTCTCTGGGCCCAGACAGGGTTAAGGGGGTGTTTGGAAGGTCCCCAGAGGGGGAACCCGGCGGAAGTGGGACACCCGGGGCCGGACTGGCAGGAGGACCTGGAGGGCCTCTGGGGGCACAGGATGGAGCTCTGGCTGTCAGGAAGGGGATGCGATGGGGGCAGGGTGGGGGCAGACGGGGAACAAGCAGCTGGGCCGTCTACAGGCGAAACAGTCTGTTCTAAGAAACTGAATGAGAGCAGCTCTCAGAGTCAGAGGCTGGAGCCCCTGGGCTCAGGGAAGGAGGGCTGTGGGGTTCTCTAAAATGGGGACTTGGTGGAGAGCCAGGAGCAGAGGGCAGGGCTTCAGAAGAGACAAGTTTGCAGCCTTTTGACTTCCCAAAGATGCTCGGGTTTGTGTCAGGATGAAGACTTGGTCTCCACTTCCCAAGCCCTCCCACCACTCTGCCCCTCAAAAGCCATAAAGCTGTAGGGCCGGAGAGGATATCAGCCACAGGCCAGACAGGGTCAAAGGGGCCAGGAGGAATCCCCCTAGGGTCCCACCTGTCCTGGAGAAGGGCCAGGTGCCTCTGGGCACTGTCAGGGTGTGGCACAAGAAACTCCAGTGGGCACAGGGATAGTTCTACCTAGTTTATTGTTTGTGAAGGAGGGCCTGCTATGGGGGGGGGGGACCTACCAAGGAAGGTGGGGGCAGCACAACCCAGGATAGGTCAAAGGAGGAAGAGGAAGGAGAGAGAAATCCTCTGGAAGGCGGGGGGGGGGGGGGGGGGGGGGGGGGGGGGGGGGGGGGGTAGTTGACAGGAGGGAGAGGAGGTGTCCAAGGCTAGGGAGATCTGGTCCAGAGAAGACCCAAGTAGGCCTGGCCCCCAAAGGCCCCATATTCTAGGATGGATGAGTGTCAGAGCGACAATACTTAGGGCCTAACTAAAGTCTAGCAGATTCCACGACAGAGACAGGTGAAGTTCTGGCTCCCAGCTGGTGGGGGACTAAGAGTTTCTAGACATTTCTAAGGACCCGGAAGCATCACCACCCACCCGCTGCGAGCACAGGGTTTGGAAGCCCCCAGAGAGTGACAGGGAAGATCCTGCTGGGGGAGGGGGCTTTGCCATGCCTGAAACCGAACCCCCAGCAAGAGGAACCAAGTCCACCTCTAGACAGCAAGACGGCCGAGAAGCAAGACCTCTGGGGACAGAAACACCAGACCCAGGCTGTGTGGGGTGGGGCACCCTCCCTGCCCCTCCGTGCCCCTGCTCCCATCCTCCCCCCAGCTGGAGCCTGGCCTCAGCAAGGTGTGCCCAGGGGCAGGAGCGGGGGCGACTCCCTGGGCTTGTGGAAGTAGATGGAGGAGGGCATCTCGGACTTGAGCTTGCTGTCCGAGCCGCCAGCGGCTGAGGCCTCCGGGCCGCCGCACTGCCCACAGCAGCAGCAGCAGCAGCCCAGGAAGGCCCGGCCCAGCGGCCTGCAGAGGCACAGCAGGAGCACGGGCGTGATGGCTCCCTTGAAGAAGGTGGAGAACTGGTTGATGAGGCCCAGGAGGTCCAGGGTCTGGCGCGTCAGCTCCGTGGACAGGTAGGCCACCACGATGTTGCAGACGTTCTCGGGGAGCGTGCAGAGGGCGTAGACCACCGTCAGGCCCACCAAGGTACTGCTGAGCTGGCTCTCGCACTGCTCGTGCTTGCCGGCCCGGCACTCGGGCTTCCTCCCCAGAGGGCCCCGCACCCGCCACGTCACCAGCTGGCAGGTGACGGTGAAGAGGATGGGCAGGCAGAAGTAGCAGCCAAAGTACCACCACATGCGGGCGTTCTGGTAGGTCATCACCAGCGAGTAGAGCGACTCCGGCAGGCTGGCCGACGGCTTCATGATGCACGAGTCCAGCGTGCCCGCGGTGGGGGAGGGCTCCTGTGACAGCTGCCACAGCAGGAGCTCGGGCACGGCCAGGATCATGGAGCCCACCCAGATGACGGCCAGCTTGGCCAGGATGGACTGGCACCGCTCGATGGGCCTCACCTTGGGCAGGGTGCTGGTGGCTACGTGGAAGCGGTCAATGCCCAGGGCGCAGAGGCTGAAGGTGGTGACTCCCAGTGAGGTGACCTGGGGGCAAAGGCGTGGAGGAAAGGAGCACGTGGTCAAACCCAGGGGGCCCTGGGGCGGCGGGCCGTGCCTGGTCTCCAGCCTAGACGGGGAGCTGAGTGGCAAGTGTAGAAATGATAGGAATGATATTTAGTGAGCATTTCTCACGCGTTAGTCAACAGGCATTTCACACCCGTCACCCAATCCTTGCAGCCAACCATCCCACACGGGAAGAAACTAGCTGAGGCAGGATGAGTGACTCTGTCAATGGCAGAGTTGAGGTCCACGTGCAGACTGGCCCAACCCTTTCCAGCCTGCTTCTTTGCCTCTTGGGCGAGGGAATGGACGGCCTGGGTCCCACAGACCTTTGTGCTCTCTGAGACCTTGGAAAATCATCCCTACTGAAGCATCCAGACAAAGACATAGAAGTTCTGGGTCTTTGCAGGCCCTTCCATTCCCACATCCCATTATGTGCATCAAGTGAAAGGTTTTCGAAACATGGCTGAGATACACACACACGCACACGCACACACATTCACGTACACACTCACTCTCCCCATCCTACCCAGAAAAGCCCAGGGCCTGGCTGTAAGGGGAAGCAGCCTCCCTCCAAAACAGCCTGTGCCCACCTTCCCCAATGCTATTCATTGAGCACTGAGGAAAATCACCCTGGGAGCCAAGAGAAAGAAGCCAGAGCAGCAGGGGAAGAAAGTGCCAGAGAGAAGAGAGGAAGAGGAGAACCCTCCCAGGCTGCTGGGTGGTGCTCGACCACACTCACGGATTGTGCTCAGATGCCCCCTTCTGTCCAAATTCTTCCCTCTTCTGGCTCATTAACATTGCCACCGAGTGATCTTTGTGAGAACCCGTGCCCCTCCCGTGGCAGGGAACCCCAGGCCTGAGGAGGAGCAGACTTTGGGGCTTGGACAAAACCAAAAAACCCAAATTCCAAGTTGCCTTCTCCTGCTCACTCCTGGGGACCATCCTCAGATCCTCCTTATAAAAGGGTTCCAGAACAGGTTATTTTAACTCCTACTCCATCACTTGGCCTAACAGGAGGGTCTATCAGCTCATGATATCTCCATCCTCGAGGAGGATGGAGGCCACAGCCTGGGTATTAGGAATGCTGAGACCCACAGTCAGGCAGGGCCAGGCTTCCATGCAGACAAGAGTTCCCACCCGTCTACCCTCCTCCTCTCCTGGCAAAACCCAACACTTACTGAATTATATTAATTCTAAGGACTTTGTAACTAGTACCCACTTAATCCTTCAAGAATTCATTCAGATAGTTTTAATTATTATTATCCCCAACTTACAGAGGGCAAAACTGAGGTATAGACAGGTTAGGTCACTTACCTAAGTCACTCAGCTAGAGAGGGCCAAACCCCAGTTCCTGACCTAGTCCTTGTATCCAACCTCTCACAGGGCCCCTACGCTCTGTACCCTCCGTGCTAACTAAGAGGCCAAGGGTAGCCCCAGTGGCAGGATCTTCTCTGAGGTTTGAGTACCTTTGGGTCCCGAGTAGGTGGTTTCCCTGGGCTGGGAAGGACACAAAGGGCTACACCAACTGCTGAGCCTCAGGCTGTCCAAATATGAAATCATTGCTAAATGCACAGGGAACTGGGAACAGAGTAGGGAATAGGGCCCAGACACCTGATCCTGGCTCCTTCTCTGCCCCGGCAAGTCACCCACGTCCCATAGCACCCTCCACTCTCAGGAAGAGCAGCAGCCTTCATGGGGAGGCCACTCACTAAAAGGCCGTTTGCCTATTTTGTGCCCCTGGACAGACACAGTGGCCTGCCTCGCTGGGTCTTGCCTAAACGCACATAGATTGGTATATTTTTGTAAGGTTTTGATTAAGCTGTCTGTGTATGGTCACACCTCCATCATCACCCATGCACCTGCCTTAAGGTGGAAGTCCCCAAAGGTGAGGATGATGGTTTACTTTGGAACTGTGGAAGGAACCTGCCAGAGGGGCCATCTGGTCTAGCCCGTGGTTGGGAGCTAAGCAAACAAGACGGGAGATGTGCCCTGCCCAGGGATACCCAGTGTGTCAGAGACAAAGCTGATACTGAACCCCCTGCCCCCGGACTCCAGCACCCTTTCAGAGAGCAACGACCATCATAGTAGGGAAGAGACTTTCTTTCTGACGTTTGCATTCATGGGGATTGGACACTGGCTTGATTTGGGGGGGTGCTGCAGGAAACTGGGATCTCCCTTCACTCGTCGCTTGCAGAAGCAGGATATTCAGAAGTGAAGAAGGGCAGGGCAGCGGCAGTGGCAAAGAGGGAGGAAAAGGAGACAAACGGCGGACAGAGCGATTTCCTGGGTGGACAAATGGAGGGGGGTTAAGGTGGGGGAGGGGGCAGCTCAGAGGAAAGAGAAATGGGAGAGATGCTCCTTGAGGCTGCTCCGGAAGCAAGAGCCCAGGCTGGGTCTGAACCCCAGGGCTCCTGCTCAATTCCCTGCTCCCCTCAGCTGGCCACGGTTACTTGAGAGCTACCAGGAACCAACGCAACATCTGCCTCCTTGCCCAAACCGGAGGAGAAACGAGATAGAGCTCCAGGCCCCTGGGCTCCTGCGCACCCACAGAGCTCACTTCCGCCAGCCCCGGGCCGAGCTCCAGCGTCCGCACACTCACCTCCATGAAGGGCACGGCCCGGCAAGAGGCGTCGCCCAGCAACCTCTGCTTGGTGAGCTCATTGAAGATGACCACAGGGAGGCAGAAAAAGAGGACCAGAAAATCCCAGAGGGCCACGCTGGCCAGGATGGAGTTCCAGGCGCTCTTCAGGTAGTAGCTGTGCCACACGACGCACATGACCGACAGGTTTCCCACGATGCCCACAGCGAACACCACCAGGGCCAGGAGCATGATGGCGTACGCCCCGTAGGAGCTCTCGGTTACCGGGTACAGGGGGTTCTGAATCTGCAGCCTCTGGCCTGGCATCCCTGTCAGATTGGCCCGAGGCTCCTGGCTGCTGCCTGCCGTGCCCCCATCCTTGTCTGGGTCGGGGCTGGTGGCCACCAAGGGCTTGGTGGGCTGCAGGCCAGCGGGGTGCATGGGCCGGGGGTACTCGGCCCACTCTTCGGGCACATATTGCTGTACCCCCTTGGCCTCATCATCCTCTGTGCCTCTCTTGGATCGGTTCTGCGGCTCCTGGGCCTCGGCACCCCCGGAGACCCTGATCAGCCCCGCGGCCAGTACCACGGCGAGAGAAATGGCCAGCGACCACAGCAGCTGCATGGCCAGAGGCGCAGGAGGCAGCTGCCCCCCGAGGAGCAGGTGAGGGCGCCGAACCCAAGTGCGGGGCTGACCAGGGAGAGAAAGAGAGACAGCTGGCCTCTTGGTCCGCCTCCTCTCAGGCGTCTGGCATCACCAGCCTGCTCCAGTAGACTCCAGCGGCTCCCTCCCACCCCGCCGGCCACGGGCTGGGCAGGGCCCTCTGCTGGGCATACAGCACTCTTGGCTGCCCTCGCCTGTCTCACCCTCCAGGACGCTCCTCCCT